AGTGTCATCCATCAATCAGACTGTACAGTGGTAGGGACAAAGGAGATTTCTTCTTCTTTTTCTTCCTCTTCCTCTTATTCTTTTAGCGATAATGGGCAAGAGATGTGGAATCAAAGGCCAGTCGAGGACACAGCTTCTCGGGCATACTGCTTGCGGGCGTACTGCTTGCCTAGCAGACGAATAGTAACAGGGGCTTCTCGGTGTCCTCGTGTGGGCGGTTTTGATATCGGTAAGATTTTTCAAAGTATTTTTTTCAATGATTTGTCGAATTTATGTTCGTTTATCTTCTTCTTTTAATTTTTCTTCATGATCGTGATCATCGGCTGAAATAGACAGTTTGTCGCTTTTGCTTGCCTGAGTAAATTTTTTTGTGGCTTTTGGCGATAGCCTGTTCGATGGGACTCCACAGTGCCGTGATGGAATTTTTTGGCGTTTCGTTTTAAAGATAATTTTTTGGTGCAATGAGGCACCCGAGTTTTTGATGTGGATACTTTCCGTCAGTGATGAGGCGTGTCACCACTTGTTTTTGCACGTTAATTAGCTTGGTTGTTGTTGTGTGGGTCTATAACACTTCGCGTCGATTTTTGTCAGAAACAGAGACCTCCTCCTGGGGAGGATTGAGCCCTTGTGAGTGCTCCAGTGCGCCAGTGACAACTGCTTCAGCTCCTTTGGGCAGCTCATTGCATTGTACTGGTCTGGACTGGACTGGTGGAAGAAGAAGGAGATGGAGAAAGTGTAAAGGAGGTAGTTGGAATGTGGTAGAGAGAAGGGAGAGGGAAAGGAGAATGAGCCCACTGCGGCAAGGGTGAGCAGATGGATCTGATAATTTTGATGAGTCAAGTCACCAGATTGAGTAAATGCTATAGTTGTGGGTGCTGTAGGTGTCGCCACTTACTGTGCATTTTTGTAGAGAGCCATAACGGATGTAAAGAGAAACGCTTGGGTGAAGGAAAGGCTATTTTTGGCATAATCCTGCAAAACACCTTTATGAGCTTTAGATAGAACTTCGATAGTAGCCTTCGGGGGTTGGACGGGGGCAGGCAACGAGGAGAGCAACATGACAGCAGGCGTGCTTGAAAAAAATCACTTAATACTATTTCATGGGTAATTAGTTTGGAGCTAATTTTACTTGGGTTGATGAAATATCACATATCACGAATGGGATTTCAATCGAAATAGGAATTACTTCAATTTAAGTTGGTTCTGGAATGACTCGACTTGACTTGGAACAACAATTGGTTAGATTTACTTTGCTTTAATTCCCACTGGGACGATGGATAGTTGATTAATAAGGCACCTTAATTTAATTGGGTGATTTATTTAAACTCGTGCAGTCGTCGGCTTTATCACGATGGCTACTTGATAGAAAGTGGTTTTATAGAGGAATTTGTCGGGGGAGGAGGGGAGGGAAGGGGGACTTGGAAGGGCGCCTGAGTGAGTGTTAATTTGTCTAGGTGTGAGTAGTACCGGGTATCACTTGTTGAGGGCCCCGGCATGTTGTCTTGAACCATGCCGGGGCCAATGCGATTATCTAGGCCCAATACGTTACCCTGCGTTCCCGCGAAAATATAGAAGACCGGAGTGGGGAAGACAACCGTTTACTAGACCGCTCAACCAATTTGAGTCGTGTACAATTGAGTGACATGTAAATATGAACACCGGCGCTTGTGAGGTCACATGACCAATGCGGGAAGTGGTGGTGGTGATGGTACATTCAGCGGGGTGATGAACTAGCGGTCTCACGTGACAGACGGGCAGGTTGTGAACAGAGGGGACATGTGTGAGGCTGCGACGACTGGGTGTTTAACGTGAATCAACACGATTCACTACACACTCACTGATTCTACTTCTGCGAAGCAATTTGGCTTTTTTAAGAGCATAACAAAGCGAGGCTTATTAGATCGTGGACTTGAGGCATTCGACATGTTTAGAGGATGCTATCGAGAACACAAATCCAACACTGCTGCACAATGTACGATATTATATTTTGGTGTAACTTGGCGCAATGTCAAGTGACATGTGTTCACGCGTGATTGTGTAACGTGTTAATTGTCTTTCCGAATTAGCAACCAATTGGAATTTGGCAACGAGTGTTGGACTCGACCTAATCCGTGTTTTACACTTAGCACTTGTGACACCTTTATACAGAGTCTCTAGCATTTGACTGCATCAAATATTCTTGATTTAATGGAAAGACAGTGAATGGAGATTAAGACATCGGCTTTCTTTATGGTACGATATATGTTCATCCATATGGACGCCTCTGAACCTATAGTCATGTCCATTAGTGAGCATACTTTCTTTCCTTTTAACGACACTATCAATTGTGCGTATTTGTGATGTTTCTGTCTATGTTAGTATTCTCTGAAAATGCATTTCGACTTACTTAGGTGGCTGTTAGCATCCGTAGTGTTCACAATCAAAACTGCGTTTTCTAATCTACTTCATCATAGTTGTGAAATTGGACATACCCAACAACGTGCAAATACCATGCATGTCATTGCGTTTGATATCTTTTTTCGCCATTTCCGCTATTGCCGTGTGTTTTGCAATGTGTGAGTGTTAAGAATAATGAAATTGCTGCAAGCATCTTTGATTCTTAAATAGTTCGGACGCTACCGGAATGTAAACCCAGCCAGCGTTCAGTTCGCCGACTAATGACAATGTGACAGGTCTGCCGACGACCACAGCTTCCAAAATGGTGAAGTCGGAGGAAGAAATGATGCCACAGCTTCGCTTGGCAGACTTCCACCCAAATACTCTTGAAGCCCAAATGGCAAAGTTGGAAAAGAAAATGAAGCAATAGCTCTGATTGTTTGAGTCTCTGCCAAATTCTCCTGAAGCCCCAAGGGCGCAGTTAGAGGAAGAAATGATTCAAAGCGTTCGCTTGATAGATGTTGACGCAATTACCATTGGTTCACAAACACCTCCTATTCCACCTCTTCTTCCAGACCTACAGTATTTTAAAGCACTTTCAGGTAAAATTAAGCTCTTTAACTTTAGCAACTTTGTCTGGCTTTGCTAAAACAATTTGTGTCCTCTTTCAGGGCACATCATCACCTTGGATCGCTGTACTGTCGATAACTTTTGTCGTCGCATGCATGCTTCTATCTACACTGGCAGTGCTCGTTGACGTCTACCCGAGAACGTGGCTAGCGACGACTCATTCCGCGGCCTGAACGATATAAACGCTTTACCAGATTCTTCTTTATTGGCATTCTGTGTATTTCCATTTTTTCACTCATTTAGAACTCTTGCAGTTTGCATGCATCCTGTTTAAAATACCTTTCTACAATTATCTCACCAACAATCTTGTCATTGGTTTAATAGCGTTGCTTTTCTAATAGAATTAATTATTTTAGAAGTAACATAGTGCATTCTAAACAAATACGCAGTCTTGTGGCGCCCGATATCTTGACAATATCGTTAATTAAATTTCACTGAAGCTGTCATCTCGTTTTTGTCTCATGCCAATATCTGCCACAACGTTGTGGACGATACGAATAAAATACCTATCAATATTAAAGTTTTATGTCCTATTCAAGCATCACAGCAGATTATTTATCAGCAAGGCCTTAAAAGTCTTCATTGTGCAATTTTTGCATAGTATGCAACCGTGCATAAAAATGGCTTAATACACTATCCACCTCGTGGTCCGTTGTTTTTGACGCATCGATTTCTTACGACGTCGAGGCTTTGCACCGATAAGACCACCGGTACAGCCTCAGCCGCCGCAGTCGATCCACCCCCACCCCCACCCACCCAGCCAGCCAGCCAGCCAGGCCCAATGCACAGCCCCCCTTCAGGGTGAGTTGTTTTCGGTAATTCGATCGACGTCGGCCCCTACCCGCAGCCTGTCTGTTGCCAACTCGACATAAATGCAGGTCACATGAACAATTTTAGGTATTTTTGCACAAAAATTTTTCAAGGTTGAACCATTTTGCGTAATTAATTTTAAGCTACTTTTTAGCGCTTTTTGGCTTATCTTAACACTTATTCGAACGCGCTTCAATTCCAACTGGAGCAAATTTTGTTTGCCAACAAAGTAAGTGTACTTTCGTCACACTTTCTACTAATTTAGAGCCCTTAGCCCTTGGTCGTCCACTTCAAGTCGATCTCACCTGCCGCGTTGATTGTCAATGCCTGCACATTCTCCCGTCGTAGCCTACTTCCCTGCCTTCGCTCCTGCTCTTTCTCTCTCTCTCTCAGCGACTACTCAGCTATTGAAATTGCCCTAGGCTGTCACCAGGTTGAGCAACAACAATTGTGCCTAAAATATTTTCATTCACATGAATGCACAACTCTCCTGTACTAGGTCTTCTTTTTACTGCAGTAGGCAACGTGGTCATTACCCTACCACCACAACCACTTACGAACTTCAGGACCAGCACAACCAGCTTCTAATGGGCATGCACAATTTTTCCCCAGGTTCAATGATAATCTCGTAAGACCCCTCCTCCCTTAGCAGTTTTTTTTCCACTCGCTTCTACCACAGGGCAGGGCCTGCTAATAAAGAATACAATTTTATTTACCCAATGTGTCTGCTAGTTTTTGAATTGGCAGCAGTGGCAGTGAGGTTTTAGCACCACTCAAGCATTACCTACAGCCCATCTTTGCACAAGCACAGCTGCTGCTGCTGCCGCCGCCGCCACCGCTGCTGAGCCACTTTGCGTGCTATCGTCCATCGATCGACCGACCGATTGATCGCTCAGTTGCTCGGCTTCTTGCACGCGTGCGTGTGTGACTGAGTGCGCAACTCTTAACAAACTGCCTGCTCGCCGTATCGATCGCCTCACCAATGCTTTTTGCCATATGCCACGTGTCAGCTACATACGCTCAGGGCTCAAATTAGTTATGCCTGCACGTCAATTCTTCTTTTACCTTTAAAACTCTTGCGAAATTCTCTCTCTCAATATCCAAAATTACTTAAGATTTTGTCAACTGTAGGTGTGCCCTACAGACTGCATTTGCGATTTCTTCCGCTAATCCTTCGTTCTCACGGTGCCCCGCTGACTGCTCTCGGCTTCCACAAGCTGCTCTGCCTGCCGCGGTGGGTGTTTAGGTGCACCTCCACATCCCTGGTAGACACGTGGGGCACGAGACGACTCTGGCTACAGGTGAGCATAGCGGGCCTGTCCGCTTGCAGCGCTGCCCTCTCCACAGAAACCCCCTAGACGCACCTCGTGACCAGTCGACTCCTCCTCCTACTAGCGTGTCTTTCCTTATCTTTAAGTTCTATACGGCCACACTATACGTTGCTGCGGCCTCGGTGGCGATAGCCGTTCTCACGCACTCGGAGCTCTCGCACGGCAACACCGCCCAGGTCGTGGGGTACAAACTTGGCGCTGCGACCGGAGTTGGCTTCCTCTTTTGGCTGTCCTCGTTCCTCTTTTGGCTGGGTCGTCCCCTCTTCCGAGTTCTGTGTGTTGTCCATTTCGTGGCAATATTTGTCGCCACCATGTACGAGGGGCTCGATATGTCGGGGGGAGTGGACACATGACTGCCGATAAAACAAGTCGGGGTGAAAGGCGTGTAGTATATATTATGGAGTACTTAAATGTCATCAGTAGTGTTGTTATTACTTTAAAATTTCACCGAACAGACCTCAAGGGTAGCGGTCAAGGCTCGCTCGATGTTATCAAGTCAGCAAGGATCGATTATTAGTACTTGCATGCCCTCGTGCACCTGTGAATTGTCACTGATTTAATTTTGAATCATTTGGGTGAATTTCGGCACATCAGCTGATATCGCGTAATGTAGATCAGTGTGTTAAATCCCGCATAACCGCCGATGATTAATGAACGTTCATGTAGACCTTGTGTGATTTTGGACTAATAAATTTGGGGAGGCATTAAAGCAGGAATTGATTGGCTGGGGAAGCCCTTCATGATTACCAGCAAGTATCGCTTATTCACACTGAAAAGTAGCCAGATTTCGTCCTCTTGGCTACGGCAATTTGCGCATTTATGCAAATCCTCCTCCGAAATGTTGCCTGTCGCTTTTGGGGTGCGTCAATTGTCACCCCAGATCGTGCTCCAAACGCGATGGTGACACGCAACCTCCTTTACACGAACAACTTCGATTCCGATGGAGGTGCAGATCGCGAGAATTGACCCTCCTTCTTCGGACGGGTATTTAGCACCAAAAAATCTCAAAATCTATGAAAGAAGTTAGCCACCAAAACGTCTCGAATTCGTCGAACGATGTCACAATCTGATTTGTCAACACCAAACTCCTATCATTGAGTGCTGTGTTGTGAAATGGTCATCTTTTGAAGGCGACACCAGTGCACATCTGTTTAAGAGTGGTGCATTTCCGGTTCTGAACTTTGTTACCTCTCCGTGTCACGTCGTCGAAAATTAAACCTCATCCGGTTCCACCAAAAATCTACAAAGTTATAACATTTCAACAAAAAATATGTCGCTGAATAATTTGCTAACCCTCCTCTTAGATGGAGGTTGAATATGTGGGATTAGAGATGGCGTCAACTTTCACCAGTTAAGCCACTTTCACTTGTTACGACAGCACAGTTGGTCGTTGATGTTTGAAAACCGAAAACCCCACACGCGAACGCGACTGGCCATCCAGCGTTGCCAGGGTTTCCTTATCGGTAGTTTAGCTTGATGTTAAGTGTTATTTTCAGTGACGTTTTTCCAACATCGGTAGTTTCGTTTAATAATTATTACCCCGACGATTCTACGGCAGATCCAAGTGGGCGGTAACGATAAGCATGGGCCTCAATATGCAATATTTCAAGTTGTCACCACAAACCAAGGAAATATTAGGCGTCTCCAAAATCGTGTAGCTCTGGTAACGGTTGATTGTAGGTTCGCATCTTAGCCTTGATTGGTTCGTTTGAGAATCGACGTGACCAATTGGGGACAGTTAAAATGTGTGAGATCGTTAGCATGTCGTTTCCCTTGACTTTGACAACGACTTCCACCAAATTGTATCCTACTGATTTTCCCCTAAATCAGTAGTATTTGCGCCGCTTGATTTCGTGAATAATATCGACCTCAACTGTGTGTGATTTAATAAGGCAGATTGTTGAAACTGCACATAGAGATAGGACATAGTAGTAATCCATTTACTAAATACGTCTTACAGCTGCATCGAGGTACATGCTGTCTCGGGTTTGGCCGATTCGCATAAGATGTTTTTGTTTAAATCGCCTGCTTCTCCCCCAATTGAGCAAATACTGATTAACAGATGTTTAGAGCTCATTGCTGATTGATCAGTTCTATTCTTCTACCATTGTCCAACACGGATTTTGCTTATCATTGGCTTCTTCTTCAGACTCCTGAAAAAGTGGTGTGTGTGTGTTTGTGTGGCAATTATCATCATTAGTGGAATGTTCAAACTCCTTGTTTCACGAATCCGCGTAGCATGTCAAGAGTCATTAGACAATTTAACGCGCCGTCGTGAAGCTGTTGAAGTAGAACTATTCTGCACCCTCCAAAAACTGTAACTTGGACGCGTTGTCATGGCAGCATCTGACTTTTATCAAGTTGAACTGGATTGTGCA